TTGCTTCTTTTCAACTAGAGTATTTTTTTGTTGTTCTTTTTCTATGATGACGTCTGAATTTGTTCTTTTTCTTTTTTTTTTTTTTCGTAGGACGTGTCAAATCGGTGGTGGTACCGTGTGACAGACATCTTACGCTTCGAAAATATCCTATGCGAAACGTGTCACTCCTATCTTCCTCTGAGAGAAAAGTATATACATACGTATATACACATATACATATATAGTTGGACTTCTCTTTCTTTATTCTACATCCACCGTAAGTGACATCGTTTTACCTTCGTGTTCAGCCCTCTTTCCTTTATATTTGTTTTCTCGAAAATTGTTTCCCGAGGTATAGGAGATACGATAGGACTTATATATCTATCTACTATACCTATAGGTAAACGTAGAAGGAAATTCTCAAGACGATACGAAAAGTGATATGGAAAGTCGACGAAGCGAAGAATACGCGATGAGAAAAAGAAAGAATGAGTTACGGATTTACTGCTTTTTCATTCGTTTAATGGACCGTTTAATACACGTCCGATCCACAAGTATCTCGCTTTTGTCGAATTATCGATTCTTATTAGCCAAGTGCAAAGTTCTAAAACTTTAACCTGGCTTATGGTCGCCTTGAAAGAGATGGAGTGAGAGAGAGGAGAGAGAAAGAGAAAGAGACAAACTTTAAAACAGTTTCCTTCTTGCGAAGGTCGAAAACTCGGCCTTTCCTCGACACTAGCTGAACTAAATTAGGCCGAGGTTTCTCAGTTTAGCATCTTCAAGAGAGAGAGCAAACACCGACTTGGAGAGAAACTTCAAGCAAACGTAGTTTCTTCTCTCTGAGAGAGAGAGAGAGAGAAATTGACTTTCGTCCATCGAATTTACTAGCATAGTATATCTATGTATATAAAGCTATATTATTCGTATGTACATATGCATGAATGTATCTATGTTTGTGTAAATCGATCCGAGTTAAAGTAAAGTTAACGTGGGAATCACAATCCCACGAAATTTCATCCGGATGGGCTATTACATATACGTCTAGCGTATTTTATCTATCTACGTATTGCCATTTATCTTTCATTGTTCGTTAAACATTCTTCTCTTGCTTTCTCCTAATCGATACGAAAGAAAAAGAACGAGATACGTGTGTGTGTGTGAGAGAGAGAGAGAAAATGTATACGTCTCTATCATGGAATATCATTTATAAATTATTTTCGAAGGAGACGCCATTTATCAAACTAGCAAAGTAATACGAACTCCTATGATAGTAGTTGCTAGAAGAAACTATTAATATACATCATGTTTAATGTATAAGAACGTTTATTTAATCTACCTTTTCTGATTTCGTATAACAATTATATTACAATTTATATAAATATTCTCTTTTCACGATTATATAATAACATTTGACTATTTTTCGTATTCATCGATATAAATGGTGAAATTTATTCAAACGAAAATTGTTAGAACGAAAACATTGAGATTATAAAAGAGGGCCGCGGCCAACGAGAATACATTCAAATTGAATGGCATACGTTTGTATATGTCAGCGAGAGATTTTAGTAATTTTAGTGCATCATCATCAAGAATCACTTTCCATTGATGTTCATACACAGGTCGAACTGTCGAACGCGTTTTTTGTTTAACGAGATGTTGTTTGCTCGATACGAATATTTGTTCGTATCTTTTGCTACGATTAATTTAATATTACTTTCTTTTGTGTAATTTTACAGACGTAACGGACAATGAAAACCTATCCTGAATGAAATAACCCGATATATGGTATAACTAAATTACTTTCAAAGTTAACGTAGTTATCGAGATATTTGGAAAAAGTATCGAGTAATAAAAAAAAATAAAAAACGTATTCCAGTTTCGAATTTCGCGACGATTAGTCAGAATAAATCGCGACGATATCGTTTCCGTTATTTTCAAACTTTTCCAGCTTAATGATCCAAAACCAGTTTGTATCCTCCGTGGGCAATGCTCCGTGGGCAATGCTCCGCGGGCAATGGCCGTACCTTAAAAACTGTATTATATGACGCGGGCAGATACGTACGTAACGTGAAAACTTTCTTCTTATCCATATCCTGTTGCGTTTTACTATCTTATTGAATAATTCAGTTTTGGTTTGGATGTTTTGTTGGGATGTAAAGGAAAGCCACGTAGAATAAAAGTTGCACAATCCGATTATAATTTAACGTGAATTTTCCTGCTTTTATCGATTTGAATTTATTCTATTTGCTCTATCTTCTATGTCTCTCGCTTCCTTTTTTCCTTCTTTCTAATTTAACGTTTCGGCTTATCGTTTTATTGCTTTTTATTTTTACGCGTTTTTTGTTTCCCTATCCACCGAACGAAAATCTCTGACTCTCAATTTTGCGATTTAAGCAAAATCCAGGATTTTTAGTACTATCATCCTTTCGCTCGTTTTCACATATATTTTTTGTCGATCGGCCGAAAAGTTAACAATGCGTGTAAAACAACTATAATCGATATTTTTATATTTTCCTATATGGGTTAATAATTGAATTTACGTTATTGTCATTTATATAGACGTTTGTATGTTTGTAGCTCGTCAGTTTCTATTTTGTAATAATCTTCCGGTCTTCTCTGATAATTAGTAACGCACACAAGTTGATAGGCATTAGTCGATAATCGTATTTCAATTGGTTGTCCAATAGTCGAAGGACGAAATTAAAATCCAATCCGTCCGGGTCGGTTGATCGGGTCGATAGGCTTGATCGTCCTGATAGTTAACGATCGCGATATAATCTACGAAATCTAATTTTAGCAGGAAATTGATAGACGCGGTCGTTTGTGCGTGCAACCTGGTGTACGCGACATACCTACTATCGACCGCAAACTCGACGAATGTAAATATTCAATCAAACTGATTATTTATTTCAATTATGTTATATTTCCATGCGTTAAAAGAAATCATTTGAGTCTTGCGTTAGGTTCGATTAAAACCTCCATATAAGCGCGTTGCGTTTTCCAATTATCAATATTATATTTATATATTTATTATTATACATTAATACAACATATGTGTATATATATATATATATATGTATATATATGTTATAAATGTGTTACACTTTGAAAGAAACGAAACGCGATTGTTCGAGTGGAAATTTCGATTATATCAAGTTGAAAAACACAGTTGGCCTTTTTACTCGATGGATATAAAGCTTTTTCTGAAAATGCTTTTTCGTTCTCTACCCGTTTTGTTTCGAAGGAACAATCCGCACAATCCGAAACATCTCGCACAAACGGTTCGGTCGGACAAAATTCAGTTATCGCTTTTCGACCTGTAACTTTCCCGTCTGTTTTGAATCGCTAACTAGACCGGCGGTCTGTTTTCGAGATGTGCTAGTAGAATGGCACGAAGACGTGCCAGGGAAATAATGGATGTTTTATGTATGTAGCTACGTTGTGAACTGTAACGATACGGATATAAATATTTGATGAGAGAATCCTAGTAATGAAAGGAGATATTGCTAATAAGATCCTTTCTTGGACAATCTATGTTTTCTTCCTGCTTCAATTAAGAAATCTAAATAAGGTACGACGTGATTCTATGTCTTCCTTATTTCATCGAAACTACTCTCTATTCCACTTTTTTGATTACTCTCATCGGATATTTCTTTTTTCTACGATAGCAATATTTCCTATTGGATTTATTTCAACCTTTCCTTTTCATCGTCAATGAATCTTCCTCAAAGTTCAAAGACGTTTATTTCATTTTCAAGACAAAGCGTTTGCAAGACAAGCACGCTACTCGCGAGTATCAACGAATGTTTGCTTAACCTTCGGAGGTAAATTAATTTATATGCAAATGAAATGAAGGTTCACCGAGTGACGAGACGCATTGCGTAACAAGGGTCCGAACTTATTGCTTTTATCGAGCAATTAGTTACATAATTGGTATTTCAAAGGGCAAACATCGTGCTAGTACTTTCATTAGTATCATGAAAATTTCATCTCTTATTCGTAGTTTAGAGTAATTAACAGTAGTAATACTTATTTATTTATTTATATTACCAAAGTTAAAGAAAGTTAATGAAAGTCGGAAAAAATAATATTCTTTTCTTTATTTAATGTCTAACGCGCGAATGACTTATCAACGTCTCTATACTCTTCTAGTTTCAATAGATGTGATAAGAAGAGCCAGGGCCCGCAAGAAGCACTTAACTTGGAACGTGACTCTATTTCTTAATGGGCTTGAAATTCTATCTCTTTTTCTTTGTCAGCCAATCTATCCTTCCTCGACATACATCTAGAAAAGGAAGGGGGGCCTCCTATATGGGGAACGGGTTATCCTATCATAAAGCCGAGATTATTAGGTTGGATTCGATGAAAAAATTCTATTCTCCTTTTCATTTTATTTACTTACGTTGTGACAGCTATTAACAACGAGATTCAATATCAAGTTGATTCGGTGAACAAGTAATTGGAACATTCGTTCGGCGAATATTTAAAACATTGTTAAATGTTTTCACGCGCTTTTTATTATATTTATTTTATTTTATTCGATATTTTGATATTTTGCTTGGTAGAAATATCTTGCGTAATCGATATATACACGAATTAACTCAACTCATTCTATTTTTTTTTTTTTTTTCCACGGACAAGAGTAAATGTTTGCGTTAGTGGAACGTATTTTACATTAATGTTCCTGTGCTCGAGGACATCGATTAATACCAATTAGAAGGGCTGCTCCTTTAACTCTATTTCCATTGCTACTAATCACACTGGATCTATTTAGTAGGATCTGAGGGGAAAGCATGAGAGGATGAAATGAAAAGCGGGTCGTAAAAGCGGGAATCGAGAATGGTCGAGTTGGCGAGTTACCGAGACAGCAAGAAAGAACCGTTCTCTACGTTGAAATACTGGAAACTCGACAATACTACAGTCCTGTTGTAGCTAAAAGGTGTACTGGACCGACAAATATAGGTAACCCACTGCATACGTGTACGTGTAGGTGTAGGTGTACGTGTAGGTGCGTTACTCACTGCATGTGAAGGGTCGCGACCGGCTTGTCGGAAAAGAGGACGACCGGTCGGTCGAATCGTTTGTTGCGACCGCAAACTCGAGCTCCACCCTCGAATTGAAGCCAGCCACCTTGGCACCTGCAACAAAAAACCGATTCTCTCTGTAACCAGCTATTACTCTCGCAAGAACAAAACTCTCTATCCTCTTTGGTTACCATTTGCTAATTAATTTCCCTCTTATCTTTTGCTAACTACATTTTCATTTTAACAAGGGACTAACTTTTTTTTCCTTCGTTAAATAAACTTACTTTATATTTAATATTCACCGATCATTATATTTTCTATTCGTATTCTAATATCCTTTACTTTTCTCATAATACATATAGGAAATATTATTTTCAAATATACGAGAATCCAATAAGCATGGAATACGATGTATGTACTGCTGTTTTGCCCAAGCGAAAAAAGGCCTCCAGTAATTTAGTCAGATTGTAATCTTATTTAATTCTTTTTCCATTCCTTTTTTTACTTCATGCATGTCCAATAATATACGTTTCATCCGTAATGCTTCGAGAAAACTGCTTCGCGTTTTAAAAGCAATGAATTAAATAACGTCATATCGATTATCGGAGTTTTATGCATACGTCGTTGTGCTAAACACGTAGAGAATAAATATGGTTTTAAGCATATTCGTTAACTACGTCTATAAAATCTTCGCTGGACACATAGTATAAGCAATAATCTCTCTGTTTTTCTTGTTTTACTCTGTTACTTACTTTGTAAGTCTGCTTTTAGTATTATCACCATCATCAGAAATCTCATTTCAATCGGACACGAAGGGGTAGAATTTAAAAATGCAATATTACGTTCCCCAGGATCATTAGGATCGTTGTGTGAGGGTACTAAAATAAACGATGCGACATCGCGTATATCTCGAACGGAGAACAAAATTTCATAAACCTCCCTTCATGCGCCATTTTGAAAAGAGGTTACTCGGTTAATTGTCTGACGATCCACGCGGCGAAAAGTCGTCGTTATTACGTTTAGCGTTCTTTATGTGTGTAAGTGGGAAGAAATTTGGTGTTGGAGTACATACACCTCTTCTTCCCTCGTCCCCCGCCCCTCTTCTCTCTCTCTCTCTCTCTCTCTCTCTCTCTTTCTGTTTATACTAGGAAAACGATTATCGACGAGGGGTTAGAACCGAAATTGCTTCTTCGTTTACGTCGAGCCAACTTCAAAGGATTTGTTTTACTATGGAAAAGGGAAAAGGGAATGATGCTAAACTGCGTTAAAAGAGAAAGAGAAGGAAAGTAAAGCAAAGGGGAGGAAAAGAGAAAAGTATACACACAGAGAAAGTGGATGGTGGTAGTTGGTAGGGGGTAGGTGTTTCGAAAGTGTGCTAACGCAACGTTGGTAATACGCAACGAGGGAATCATGCTGATTCAATCAGTTCCGTCTTCTCGCTTTTGCTCTTCTAAAAGGGAAATACAGGAACGTTCCATAACACGCTTCGCTGATTATTATCCGTCAAGATTTCGTGAAATATCGTGCCGAAAACGACCCTCTTTCCAATTTGGGGAAACCCTAGTTCGCGAACCCCCTTGTCACGCGAAATCGAGGTTGTCTTTTAACCTCTAATCAGTATACCGGAGACATTTACGATTGCTTTCTGAGAAATTTTCCAAGTATTATTATTCTCTAGTAACTCATCTTTTATCTTTTCATCGGATAGAAATTTATTCTGACCAAAACGTCGATATACAATCCTCGTTGTATTACCTTACTCTCTGAAAGATCTCGTAAAGATCTTACGTGAGTTTTATAAGTATTCTTTTCTTTTATATAATAGTATTTGATTTATTTAATAACGTGCCGTGCAAGCAAATGATCTTACCCTTTTCTTTATCTTTTTTTAATTCGTCAACGAGCTCGAGTTCTTTCTGACCTAATTTCTTATACGTTGATGGATTAAAAAAAAAAAAACACTAAAAGATGTTTTTTTTTTCTTTATTAGAAGACGAATAAAACGGGACAAGATATATTTGAATTGTGTAAGGTAGACGAAAAATTCGATTTAAAAAAGTAAAATATATCGTCTTGTTGATCTCCGAATTAACTTTATATATATATATTTTTTGTTTTTGTCTCAACGCCACCTCGAACCGTAAGTCGTTTGCTTTTATTTCATTAGTCGTGTCTCGCCGTTCTCTCGTGGAGTGACAATGAAATTCCATAATTATTATTTTCTTAATTTCCTTTTTTTTCTTCGACGGTAAAAGGAAAGATGAACATTATACAACACGTTCTATAGGCGATGGAAAAATCCAACGTGGGATTTTAAAACTGAGACAATTATGGAAATAAATTCTTTTAAAGGTTCGACGATTCTTTCTTTCTTTCCTTGCATTTTTCCAGGACCATGCAATGGCCGTTCCGTTAGGATACCCTTAAGTTATGAATCATGACGGTATAACAAATTTTCCACGAAGAGAAATCAAAATGGACAATTATGGAGAGAAAGTATAACGAAAGGTAGAGACAGACAGAGAGAGAGAGAGAGAGAGAGAGAGAGTGAGGGAGAAAAAAATGGAAAAAAGATGAAAAGATAGATAGTACGGAAGCCAACGTCATCTGCATTCGAATGAATGCTTAAATTACGTGCATAATTCATCGTCTATTTGTTGAACAGGATTCGAGGATTCGCCGAACTTTTATATTGACTCTAAAAGTAACTTCCTACCTTCCGACCGAGTATTATTATTTTTTTCCTACCTTCCACCGCCACATCGATGGCTACGGGGAAGTTGAATTTTTTCTTTTTTTCCTTTTTCGATGAATGCCTTCGAGCGAACGTCTCATACAAAAATTGTGAACGTTTCATGGGGAGAGGAGGGTTGCACAATTCTTTTTTTATTATTAACGAAATATCCAATTGTAAATCTTATCGAAAATTTGGATGCTTAACTTACATAGTTGAACGCGATAGTAGCCATCGTAATTGGAATCGATGCATTAGTCTTGTGTATGCATATATGCAAGAGAGAGAGAGAGAGAGAGAGAGAGAGAGAGACAGGTTGATAGACTCGGTTGATTTGACTACGAATTCTCCTCCGTTCTGGGTCGCGTAGTAACATCAATAACGTTAATTAACATATCAACGAGACAATCCTAGAAACGCGTTTACTCGAGCAATACCTTTACCCATTCTCGAGAGTTCCCCTTTACCTGAGCTAGGCTCATTCGAATCTTGATATAATCCAGCATGTAGCAACACTTGCGTTCCATTGTTAAGCGAAAGCTCGGAACTGTCGTGTCATAGTTCAACCAGTTCTATCGGACGCACCGCTTTTGAATTAATCGCTTGGCTTGCCTTCGATAAATTGCCGATTCTCTAGAGATCTTTGTCCTTTCCGAACGAATCCGGCAATTTCCATTGCCTCTGGCATTTTCTCTTTTCGTTTCTCTTTTCGTTTCTCTTTTCGTTTCTCTTTTCGTTTCTCTTTTCGGTCAGCACATCGATAAAACTTTTCCCTCCTTTTCGGTTCTCTCTATCGTATATCCAAACCCGAGAAGAATGAAAACCTATTTTCCTATCTTCCAAACGTTTTTCTAAAGATTTATGACACGTCGTAGTAGGAGCTTAAAATACATCTTCTTTACAACATTGCTTTTTCGGTATTCTCTTCATTTTCTAGCGAATGTTACGAAAATTCTAAGAATTACGGACGAATAATAAATAAAGACTTATAAAATTAAATTTGATGACGTTCGCTTTCGTTCGCTTTCGTTCGCTTTCGTTCGCTTTTTCACTAACACAAATAAAGTGTTTATTTGGTAGAAAGAGAATAAAAGTTATTAGTCTTTTGCGACATTTACACGATATATCGATACTGACGCGATACGCTAGGTTTTCGGCGCATTTGGCGTCTGGTATAGAACCGTAAAAGCGCGAATCAGCCTTTCTCACTTTTTCTCCTTCGTTGGCAGTCGGATACATGTGAAAAAGAAGAACATGGACGGAGGAACGTCCGTAGAGACTCGGCGAAGGATCCCCAGGAAATTGGATGCTTTTATTTCGCCCGATTTTCCCAGATGCAACGGCTGGTATTCTAACCTTTTGCTTTTTCTTTCTTTCTTTCTTTCTTTCTTTCTTTCTTTCTTTCCTTCCTTCCTTCCTTCCTTCCTTTCTTCCTTCTTTTTCTTTTTTTATTTTTTTCTCTTCTCTCGGCCATAAGATGAACTTAACCCATGACCAGAAGATCGATTCGATTTCTCCAAGGAGCACTAGTGGTATTTCTATTCCCTTGTACGGCCGTTTGCAAGAATTTATTAAGCTACGAAACAGACCTTTACACCACAAATGCTGAAAATTCTCTCTCTTTCTCTTTCGAGATCTGTTTTCTTTTTTTCCTATTCTTTTTTATTTTTATCCTTTCGTAGTTTCACCGGCAAAAGCCAAAAATTCAGCACAATCACACGATCAACATCGTTTTGTTTTCGATAATATCAAGAGAGATATCTTTTCGAGTGGAAATAGACAACAAGAGTTTCGCGCTCGATAATTATATTCTCATTCTAACTAGAAACTTCTCACGATACGAAACTATAATTTCTGTTTCAATCTACGAGCTTCTAAACATTTCGTTTAACAATTTGATGATATGCCCTGTCTCGAAGATTCCCACAGTTGCAGTTACAACATTTAATACAGAAATACGATTCTATTCGAATTGGTTTCTTCATTATTATTTGTTGTTAGTTTAAGAGAATAGATTGTGAAAATGGGTTGTAGTAAGTAAATGAAAAAGAAATAAGGGACAGCGTAACGTGAGTTGCAACGATACAGTGTAGCTCTGAACTCCTATTGTTTCCTTCACGAAGTGTTTCACGAGAAAATTTCGTAAATGTCTTTTATATATCTTGATAGCTCGTCGTCTGAGAACTAACGATGTTTTTCATCTTGTCTGAACTGCTAAATGTACTCGTTTATTAACAAAAATCACGAATAAAGAAAAATACAAGTTATTTTCTTTTCAAGTATTAGTACTTTAGCTTTTTCTATTCAACGGAGTAAAGAGTCAAACGTTAATTAACAGTGGTATTAAATAATTGTATGCTTCAAGAGTATACAGCAATGT